CGGCCTTCGGCCTCGGTTTTGGGGCCTTCGGCCCCCAAAACCCCCACAACTTAAAACTCTGACCGCCATAATTTGTTCAGACTCAAGTGACCCTCCAAACAGAGTATATATTTTTCGATGGATTTGAGGTTGCTCTACAATATAACGTAAGTCTTTTTAATTAATTACCACTCCTTTGGTACCCCCACTGGGTATGCTACCGCCCACCCCCAAATTTCGACCTTTTGTAACTTTTGCCAAATGGTCAGAAAATTTCGGAAAAAATATTTTTAGACTTGGGGCATTAAGGGCTTTCGAATGATATATCATTTGCCCCATTTATACCAATTTTTAAAAAAATATTTTTTTGGCCGAAAATTTTGGCCGAAAAAATCGACCAAATTTTCAAAAAATCATAACTTTCTTAAAGTTAACCTTTTTTAATAGTTTTAAAATCCTATAATATGCAGAAAATTCTGCTCTATCCAGGAAAAATACTTTCGGGTCGAACCGCCGGCAAAAAACCCGAATTTTTTTCGAAAAACCGAAAAATTTTCGGGTTTTCGAAATTCGACCCCTACACCCCCAATTTCGAATTTTTTCGAAATTTTCTTCAGTCAAAAAATACCTAATTTTTAAGACTATTTTTAGAAAGAAACCCCAACCCAATCCGATAATCCCACAAAAAGTTAAGGTCCCCCAAAAAATCCCGAATTTTTCCCAAAAGGGGTACCCCTTTGGTTCTGAGGGAGGGGACAAAATTTTCGAATTTTGACACAAAATTCGACTTATATGGTACTCTGACATGCGCTGAGTACGAATCCGGCGTCAGAAAAATTTTAAAAAATTTCTCCGGGACGATAGAGTCTCATAAAGTTTCACGACATTTTGCCACAACGCCTATAACTTTTTGAGACTCAAGTGGACCCCCAACATATTATACCTTTTTCTGACCGCCAGGGGACGCTCTTTCGATCTGGCTATTGAAATCGAGTTTCAATTCACTTTACAAAAAGTCGACTTTTCGACTCTGACACTTTGGACCAAATGACCCCCAAAAGTTCACCCGAGACTCTAGTGTCCGCTTATTTATAACTTCCCAACATCCAACCCTCCAACATCGCTCCCAGGCCCCAAGACCCCCCACTTCTCAAAAACGCGTTATAACGCGTTGAATTTTTGAATCGGCCATTTCGGCGCCGCACTCAAGTGCGGCGCCGAAATGGCCAATCCCAAAAAATTCCCCATAGCCACTTACCTAATATCCCCCAGGTCCCATCCAAATCCGCCCAGCCGTTCACGAAATATAGAAAATCGAAAAACCAATTAATTGGTTTTCGGACCAAATAAAAACCAATGAACAGGCACTTCGGTATTTAGACTTCACCGAATTTCGAAATTTTTTTTTTAAATCATATCTACTAATCGTGGCGCGCGTGCCTCCCAGCAGACTTTTTCTGCTCCGACTTACGGTTCACGAGATAAAAATTTTAGTGGGGTCGTTTCGGCGCAAAGGAAAAGTTGTGGCGCCACAGCTATAATTTTCCTGAATGCGCCGTAAAAAGTTGCCCCCAGAATGTCAAGCTTCGGGGAAGCGGCCGGCCTTCGGCCGGCCGATATTAGTTTTTAAATTTAATTGGGCTCTGGATTTTATATTATATAACTAGCTGTGGGTTACGTATGCGATGGCGCGAATAGCATACTCTGGCGGTAAAATTTTGGGGTGCCCGTTGGAAAGCCTATCGGCTTTGGGGCGCGCTTCGCGCGCGGCTAGAAGTTTTATTGGCTGGGGTGGTAAATTTGAAAATTCATAACTTTGTACAAAATGGTCAGAAATTTTTTCTGATAGTATTTTTAGACTCAGCTCACTGAGAGCTTTCATTTGATATATCATTTGGCCAACTTAAAAAAATTTTTTTAAAAATTCAAGTTTTGGCCCAAAAATTTTGGTCGATTTTTTCAAAAAATTTTTTGAAAAATCATAACTTCGTTTGTTATTGGGATTTTGAAATAATTTAAAGTTTATCATGTGTATAAAATCAGGCTCTATTTATTAAAAATGTAAACACAAACCTCCACTGGTTGTTCCCCTTTAAATTTTGAAAAAACTGAAAATTTTTGATTTTTCAAAAAATCGACCCTAAGACCGGCAAACCTTAAGTTTTTCAGAAATTTTTTAGTATCAAAAAATTTCTAATTTTTTTCTCTATTTCATAGTTTAGAGTTTGTATGAATAGGATAAAAACTCACAAAGTTATGGCCGATTAAAATTTTTCGGAATTATTTCATAAGGGGTACCCCTTTGAAAAATTTTGGGAAAATTTTTTTCGAGAAAATTTTCCAATTTTCGGCCATAATAGGTTTTAATGGGCGCTGATAACGGATCCGTTGCCCGTTTATTTTTAAAAAATTTTTCCTCTAAGTTAGAGGCCAAAAATTTTCACTCTTGGCCTGAAGTTGTGGAGACCAAAGATTTGGTCACACATAACTTTGTATAAAATGGTCAGAAATTTTTTCTGATTTTATTATTAGACTCAGCTCATTGAGAGCTTTCATTTGATATATCATTTAGACCACTTAAAAATTTTTTTAGAAAAATTCAAGTTTTGACCAAAAATTTTTGTTGATTTTTTCATAAAATTATTTGAAAAATCGTAACTTCGTTTGTTGTAGAGATTTTGAAATAATTTAAAGTTTAGCATGTGTATAAAATCAGGCTCTATTTATTAAAAATGTAAACAGAAACCTACACTCGTTGTTCCCCTTTAAATTTTGAAAAAACTGAAGATTTTTGATTTTTCAAAAAATCGACCCTTAGACCCCTTAGTCGTAAGTTTTTCAGAAATTTTTACGTATTAAAAAATTTCTAATTTTTTTCTCTATTTAATAATTTTGAGTTCGTATTAATAGGACAAAAACTCACAGAGTTATGGCCGATTAAAATTTTTCGGAATAATTTCATTAGGGGTACCCCTTTGAAAAATTTTGGGAAAATTTTTTTCGAGAAAATTTTCTAATTTTCTGCCATAATAGGTTTTAATAGACGGAGATAACGAATCCGTTGTCCGTTTATTTTTAAAAAATTTTTCCTCTAAGTTAGAGGCCAAAATTTCTCGGTCCTCCACTGATTATGTGGAGGAACATAAGATTTTTTCTGTTTTTAACCGTGCTCAGTCGTTTTTTGTTATAAAAACGTCCAGAGTACACCACGTGGAGGTGCACGGTGGTAAACAGAGTACCATATACTCCTCACTGGGCTATAAATGGGGAGGAAATAAAAAGAAAAAGCCAAGCTCAAGGGGATTCTATAATAATAAGAAGGGTTATACAATTTGACTTAGTCAAACTGAATACCACGGGCTACAACATTAGTTATAAGGGTGTTCCCATCATTATCTTTTGGTTTATTGGGGGCGAAGACTCTTATGAAATTACTATTAGTGCATCTGGAGAGGGCGGTATAAAGCTGTCCGTGGGCAAAGGGTTCATCTGAGAAATCAATGCCCAACCTCTCGCATGTCTGGCCTTGGGCCTTTGTAATAGTCATGCAGAAGGCTGTTCGGACAGGGAATTGGAGGCGCACGAAGCTAACCCCGTCTTGTGGGTCCTGGTGTGTCATTCGGGTGCGGGAGAGCCCAACAGTTACCCCTTGGTTTACGCCGTAAATAGTTTCAGCTTCGATTAAATGATCACGAAGTGCAACTATTTTTAGGCGGGTACCGTTACACAAGCCTTTGCTTGTGTTAAGGTTAATAAGAAGGACAATTATAGAACCTACTTTGAGGTGTAAGTGGTGGGCGGGGAGACCGGAGGGGGTTAAGCTATTAATATAAGAAACATCTTGTTGGGCGGCATAGGGGTCTAACGGGTCATCAGTGAGACATCTGTCTACTGAATAATAGTCTCGGGATTGACTATTGAAGGAGGCAAGGATAAGGTCATTATTAAAGTCCACGGATCTGTTAGTAGGGGCAAGCATTAATCTTGTAAGAAGTTGACTACTATTAATAGTAAACCCTTGATCAAAGACGAAAGATATTAACTCATCACGAGTCTCTACCATCATTGATTTAGGGAGGGCAATTTTTTCCCGGGAGGTATCAGTACCCAAATTATAAAGCCACTGTTTAAATTGGATTTCAGTAGGAAGGAGGCGCATATTTTGGAGTAGACGGGTTTTAAGAAACATTTTATAAAGGTGGGAACTTTGTATACAAACAGGTACAGCCATTTCTGGAATGGAGCAATTTTTAACTACTGGGAGTGACTGTTTCCAATCCCCGGAAAGGATTACCACTTTACCAGCAAAGGGAATATCCCTTTTGGAAGGAACCATGGTCCGGCATAAGAGGTCGACATTTTCTAACATTGTCATCTCCAGCAATGTTATTTCATCAATGATCACAACATCGCTTTCGATTATTCGGCGGCCAAAATAGCTTCCGAATTGGATTTGTGGGATTTGACCTGGACGATGGTTGATTCCAAAACGGAAGGCGGAGTGCAAAGTCATGCCACCGGCATAAAACTTTGTAGCGGCGATCCCAGTCGATGCGGTTGCAAGGACTTTGTGACCTAACCGCCTTAAATGGAAGAGCAAGTAATTTAATAAGAAAGTTTTCCCGGTTCCCCCATCCCCAGATAAGAAATAAAGTTTTTGGGAATTAGGATCTCTTATGGAATTAATAATTAAATCAAAGAAATTAGTTTGTTCGGGGTTAAGGGTGGCACTGACTAATGATGATGTATCGGCAGTTGCGTCGGTATCATCATCATTTATATGTTGGGGGAAGAAAAACTGATCAACAGCTGTATCAGGGTCGTCAGTGAGGGAATTATGTGGAAGTGGGAGACCATAATCAGACATTGACTTGCCATTAGCAAGTAAATATCTTTCAATTATAGCCAGGGCCCGGTCAATACGAATAGGACGTTGATCTTCGGTACAACGTCGGTCAAAGAAGTGGTCAATGAACGTGTTCCACAGATGCAGAGCATCTATGACGCAATCATCTGTGGAACTGAAGACAAGGATATTTACGAAAAGTTGGCGCATTTGGGAAGGAGTTAAGGAATAAGAACCCTCTCTTAAAGTTCGCTCCCATACGGAACTATCTTCAAAGAGGCCGCGTTGTCGGGCTGCTTCGGCAAAAGTGGTGTACTTTATACCGTTCACAGTTAATAATTGGTCGGGGTCCCCAGGGAAATGTTTAGTAAGAATATAAAGGGCAAATTTTTCCGGGTCTTCGCGGGGGGAAACAGTATAAATACGTCCTAAAACAGGCTGACCTTTAACAGTGGATCTTTTACGGGGTTCCCAAGTTTTAGTATCATCATGGAAGGCATAAGTTTCGGGGAGATTTTCAAATAAAATATTTTTAACATTATCATCCTTAGCCCAAAGTTTCCAATAAGCGGTTAATTTGGATTCTGGGTATTTGCCTTGGCCAACATCAGCTATTATTTGATTACGGGAAGCGGGGGTCATGAAAACGGGTTGGTGACCAGGTAAATGAATAGACAATGGGATTACTGCATGAGAAAGGTCAGCATATTTATAGGATTGGATACGAGAAAATGCCTCAGCTGGACTCCGATAAAGCATCTTGGCATATTGGGCGGGTTCATCGATATTAATGGTGCCTGCAGTACTTTTAATATATGAAAAACTCGCTCCTTTGAAGGGGTACTTAAGGGCATATTTAAGGTTGTCGGTTTGACCGTAGGCAAGTTCCAAATTGTGGTGGCATTCGAACATAACCATTATGAAAGGATTATAGGGGACTATACGAGAGTTATCGTATTTGATGATGGCTTGTCCACGTGGGACACTAAGGACTTCACCACCATCTTCAGGACTGGGACGAAAATATTCCGCTGGCCTATTTTCGTGAATAATGGTCTGCCTGGAGAAGGCTTTTGGGAAATATTTCATACATTTCCCATCATGCCCTCTGCAGTGAGAACCACAGTCGTGGACTTGGAATTTTGGGATAAGGTCACGAACTTTTCTAAGAAAGTTCGCCCAATCAGAAGTATCTGAATCGGGTGGGTTGGGAGGAATGTGGGCCCAGATTATATTAGAAATATTTTCGGGGGTTGCTAGCATGTCTGTTGTGTAGACTCTATGAAGATGGGGGCCGCCGATCCTTTTTTGAAATTCACGGCTTTGGGCAGAACCGAGAATTTTCCCCAAAATATTTTTATTATTAATAAGGTCAGTTAATTTTCGTTTTTTATCCTCATAGACTCTACACATTACATCAAAACGGTCAACTAATTTTTGGTTTTTATGGAGGAAATTACGTTTAATTTCGGGCCAATTGGGATTGGAGGTGAAGGTCAACATGAACGATGCACAACCCTTACGTCTTGTGCGAGACATAATGGTTGTTGCATCATAGAACATGTCTTGGAAGTAGGGCCGGGTCCCAGGATGATATTTACGGAAGAATACTACACTTGTAATGTCGTCGACTGATTTCAGTCTTCCGTCATTAGCCAAGAGTTTAAGGATTGTTGGGGGAATGGTTTTAAGAAGGTTAAATCGGGGTTGGCGTAAGAAACTTGCTACTTGAGCATCAATTCGTGCCGCATAGTCAAGAGTAAATTTTTGTGAGAGGCCACCACCTGCACTCCAAATGTTGTGCAGGGGCTCGTCCTTGCGAATAGCAAGACGATAGCGAATATAATCGCGGAAGGAGATGTAATTTTTGGAATTGGGGCTTTCTTCAAGCTCATCATCGGATCCTGAATCCTCCGAGTGGTCCTTAACTGACTTTGGGGGAATTTTATTAGTATTAAAGGGGTATTTTTCATAGAAACCATCATCTCCATTGGGAAATAATAGGGGATAAGTAAGAGTGTCGACAATTGGATTATAAGGTTTAATTTCAAATAAAGATCCTTGGAGATCAGTAATATAAACACCTTTTAATAAGGGGGGATCAGTGGACTCTGTCCAGATAGAAAACATCGCCTTCTCGTCAGGTAAATTTACTTGACGAGGATGCGCTGTACGATCTCTAATAGGGGCAGGGACATTTCGTTCCTCCAAAAGAGTAAACCGAAATTTGCTTACAGCATCGGGGCCATCCTGTTGCAGGATCCTTTCATACTGAGTATGAAAGTTAATATAATTTCTGGCAAAGGGGTGGGTGGTCCTAAGGAGGGTGTCTAAGTCGTGGAGAGTTTTCTTGTTTACACGGTCACCCCCATATTGAGTATTTTTGGTGCGTATATCCAGAGCTTCATTAGCATCCAGAATATACAATTGGGAAAAGGAAGGAGTTAAAGGGCCCGGGAACATTGAACTAATACGTCTAGAAAACTCTCCATTTAACATCAAACAAACACTACCATGGAGGGAGGAATCTTGGTGGCCAACGGAAATGGATGCAAAGGCTAATAAACTATTATAAATATTTTGATTGCTAAGAAATTCCTTGGATTCTGGAGTATTCCCTGTTAATAATGTTTTTAATAATGGGGGATGTTCAGTATATGCAGGGAGGGTTACTTTACCACATTTACAACAGAAGGAGGAGGTATCCCGTTTAAATTGTCTCTTATGATCCTTATTAACTTCCGAATTAAATAATAATGCCCAACAATAATAACAAACGGAGTCTCCCAGGTTTCCCGAGTCATAATATTTAGTAGTATGCTGTGATCGAACATCAGCACAGGGCCATAAGGGGTGATTAGAAGCACAACGACTTGTAATTGGATTGGAAGGTGGTGGGGAAGTAACGGAAGAAGGTGCTGGTGTAGCATCCTTCTTGGACTTAATACGCTCGGAACGGCGCAAATTTTTGGAGGGAGGGTCGGGTTCTAAGAACACAAAGGGATAGTTGGGTACAACCACCCCTTCGTCGGGAATTACATGTTCGATGACATGTTGAGGGGGGGCTACATGTTCGATGACATGTTGAAGGCGAGGGTGGTACTCAAAATTATCCCCATTAAAAAGGTTATTAACGTGCCAAAGTATTCTACGTTTTTCGGTATTAATATTAAGATTATTAAAAATAAGATTACGATTGTTAAAAAGCCATGCTTCGGCATATAAACAGGTAAAGTACCCACAACTGTTCCCATCAGTTTGGCGGGTATATAAATTAGTGGGATAGTCGTTAATATGAATATTATTAATAGGAATATTAGTCATACGATTAATATAAGAATGAATAATAGGAATCCTTTGATCACCATGCAATCGTGATTGAAGGGGGAAAAAGAGGGAATCAATAAAAAATCCTCTATTATCAGAGGCATCCCAAACTACTAAGGTCCAGTGATTTGGGAAGTTAAGGGGGAAAAGGATTATCTCAGGCACTTGGCCTGGGATAAAACCATAGCACCGGTCTACGAAATCTTCCTCTGGAATGTCTTGGACATTCTGATTCATAAGAAGAGGAATAATGACATTTGAGTCAACTACAACGGTGTATCTATGGCAATGTCGGGACAAATAGCAGAGAAATCCATAGATTTCAGAGCCATCGAAAAACTCTGTTAAATTATTCCAGAGTGTTTCTATACGAAGGGGAGCCCTATCATTATCTTCATCACGAAGTTCCATGAAAGCCCTATTACAAATTGCCCCAGGATCATTAGTCTTTTGGGTCACAAAATTAAGTAAAGGTAAATTTTCAAAATTAATAGTGGGAACCATGGGAACCTGAGGTGGTTGAGGAGGTTGAGGAGGAGGCTGTTTTTTGGGTCTTCCCGTGGTTCCTCTCGTTTTCTTTTTAGGGCGACCACGTTTAGTGGCAATAGAATTATTAGGAGAGGATGCACGGGAAGAAAAAACAGATGAGGAATCAAAGGAAATTAAACTTTCGGTGTCAACAGATGACTCTCTAGTTTTCATCTGTTTCCTTGGCGCATCGGCCTCGGATGTAAGGGAAAAAGGGGTTAAGGGAGTTGTTGGTGTATGAGGGGGACCCGGGTCATCAGATGGATCACAAATATTAACATTTTCAAAATTAAAGTGAAGAGAATGATGATGAGAAGAAGAAGGAAGAGAAGAAATAAAAGAAGAATCACCACCCTGAGTCGGGTTGAAAGATATATTGCTCTGAAGAGAGCAGTTTTGGTTTCCCAGATAAGAATTCTGATCAGAATGCTCTGGTTGGACATCCTGATCAGTGCTCTGAAGAGAGCAGTTTGGGTTAGAGTCCGCCGAACGGCGTTTTTGATCTTTTTTGCGCTTTAAATAATTTTTAGAAGGCATAATTGTTAAAATATATTAATATTTAATTATTAAACCCAAATTATCGAAAAATATTTATTCAAACTCGCAAAAAAGAGGTAATAGAGGGGAAGATGAAGAAAGAGAGGAAGATGAAAAAGAGGAAGAAAAAAAGATGAAGAAGAAAAAGATAAATAAGAGGAATAGAGATAGATGAAAGAAAAGAAAAATTAATCTACTGCCCCAAAAATAAAATAAATCTACTGCCCAAAATATAAAAATAAATCTACTGCCCAAAAAATAAAATAAAGCTACAGCCCCAAAAAATATATCTACTGCCCCAAAAATATGAATATACTGCCCAAAAATAAAAATAAATCTACTTCCCCAAAAAAAATTACGCAAAAAATAAACAGAGGGTGAAAGGGACAAGTTTCGCTACACATCTACGCAGGAAAAATATATTGAAGAACAAAAATAAAAGTTCTATAAATTACTTCTGCGTAGAATAGTAGCGGAACCGACATAGTATGAAATATAAATCAGTTCTGCCGAATCTATGACCATCATTCTACCAAACATGATTGTGTTTAGGTTTATAATAATTTAGTTACAATTTTACAAAAAAGGTTTAAAATATAATTTATTTTAAATTTCTTTTATTTATAAATATAAAAGTTTAATCATGTTTGATAGAACTCTGAACAAAGATTGGAGTGAGGGAAAAGGTTCTGACCAAGGCTTATGCCGTACGCATTGGACGATGTGACTTCAGGGAGGAAAAAAATAAAATGAAAAAATAAAAGAACCCAGGGAAATAGAGAGATATTAAGTAATTAATATAATTGAATGATTTCGAAGGTAAAATAAAAGGTTCCTAAGTCTTTTTAAAGTTAAATAGTGTAAATAATTGTATTATTATAAATTTAAAAATTATATTATTCAGTAAAGTCAAGTGAAAACTATTTTTAAAAAATGGGGAAAATATTTTAATTTTTTTAAAAATCAGAAAGGAAAGAAAAAATTCAAAAATGAGTAAAAATCCCTCGAATTAATTATTTTGGGGTGGGTAGAAGTCACATATCCACGTACAGCCCTTGGTAGAAGTCACCAGATGGCATCAACTGGGGGGTACCAGCTGACTGGAGTGCCAAAAGATGAAAATTTGGGTACAGAAGTTAGGAGCGGAGTCTACCTGGGCTTCCAACCGGTGTAGAGAAGGGAATGAGGCCCATCTTAGAGTTCAAAGCATGATGCATACCAGTATTGGCATCCGCGCAGTAGGCTAGTATGCATTAAAAGGGGAAAAATTAAATATATTTAGGATTTTTGAAGTTTTAAATAGTTTTTTCTAAGTATTTATATTGGGGGCATGCTTTTTACTCTTCGGTGATTTGACAACACCGCATTCCCGACCCTAATTGGAAGGAGCCACTTGAGGTAGCTAAGAAATGATGCATTAAATGCAT